TAGGGGGACGATCACCTCCCTCGACCTGCTGGAGACGCTCTTCTTAATGCATCCCAGGATCCCGTTGGCCTTCTTGGCCACCAGGGCACACTGCTGCCTCATGGTCATCTTGTCATCCACCACGATGCCCAGGTCCCTCTCTGCCRGGCTGCTCTCCAGCAGGTCCACCCCTAATCTGTACTGGTGTCCGGGGTTATTCCTCCCCAAGTGCAGGACCCTGCACTTGCCCTTGTTGAACTTCATGAGATTTCTAACTGCCCAGTCGTCCAGTCTGTCCAGGAACTCATTTAATTGGGCAGTAACAGAACCCACAAAATAMATGTAGCCAAAGCAGCATGTCTAGTTTGGAAACAGAAAATCTTGGGCTGAAGGCTGCCTGAGGAGGCAGCAGCTTGTGTTTAGTCCTAGGTGAAATGATGGTCCTGTGAAAAGGTCCCATGAAAAATTCCTGTACGGAAAGAACAGTGAAGCATTGGAACAGGCTGCCCAGGGAGGTGGTGGAGGCACTGTCCCTGGCAGTGTTCAAGGAACATACAGATAAGATGCTTAGGGACATGGTTTAGCCGTGGTCCATTAACCAGTAAAAAGGTCCATGGATGGTGTTGAGGGGTTCATGGTTGGACTTGATGGGCTTGAAGGTCTTTTCCAACCATGATGATTCTGTGATCTCTGCAAACATTCACAGAAACAAACCATCCATCCCACGACCAGTGTCTAAGCTACTCACCTCTTCTACAAAGCCCCGAGAAGGCTCCTTCCGAGCTGCCTTCCGAGTGTTTTCCACTTGCCAGCGGCTGGCTGGCATTTGCCCTCRTTCCTGGAGAAGAGCTTGGACTCTGGTGCCACAAATGAAAACCTGCATCCAGCTCCTGACCTCCTACTAGTACCATGTCTTTCCTTCTGCAGCCTCCCTTCTCCCTCCGCAACATGCCCTTCTGAAGGACGGGCCAGATCACGGACCTGCGTTTTGTACTAGACACTTCCATCGAGCCTTTGGAACTCTGCTGTTCTCATACTTGGCTCATCTGTAAGTCTGGGACAAATTTRTACCATATTCCCAATTATGAGAGTATTTCTGCAAGAAGCAGCTATCTTTGCTGAATGTCAAGCTGTTGCTTTAGAAACTTTGGGGAATACACTTCCACGTTCACAGCTTAAGAAGTGAGTGGAAAAACACCGGCATCGCAGGGAGGCTCAGCCTGTCTAATTATCGAGGGCTTAGCAACTTTCTGCAGGGAATCCGCCAYGTGTCTTCATCTCCAAAGACACAGGGACACACAGAGAATTCGGGAGGAAAGGATTTAGATCTCCATAGTAGTGGGAAAACTCACCCGTCCCAGGAAGGTTACTCAACAGTTCAACCAGTTCTTCTGGAGTCTGAAATAGGAAGGTGAAGCCCTCCGTAGGGCCAGGGAGGCACCACAGCTCCTGAATTACTAGGATTGCACAGGGAGGAACCCAGCAAGGGCGGTGCGCGCTCATGGTCTCTCTTGCTGCTTACGGGGCCGGGTGTTTCAGTGGGGGTGCCCTGAAATGCCCATTTTTTAAGCAGGAAAATCTCTCTCCGTCRTGGTTTGTATGTACAGGTTGTCCTCTCCCACCCATCCTCAGAAGCCTGCGCTCAGCCTGTTCTCTGCTGCGATTAGAAAGATGACTATTTTATTATTTTAAAATAATCAACATGGAAACAGGAGCAGGGATGGAGTCACCAAGAGGCCGAGCCTCATTGTAACCACCGCATGAATCCTTAACATGGATACGACAGAAATCACGGGAACGTTAACACCGTTGGTGCTCGGTCGATGAACAGCAAGTCAGCATTAATCCATTAATGCCACACACCGCGCGG